GATATAACAGATATATTAATATATGAAGGATTTTCTAGATGAGAAAAATCAAAAGAATTGAAATTACTCCTTAATTCTGTTATTCACTAAAAACATTAGAAATGACACATTCTAAATTAACTATAAAAGGCAGAGCATATGTAGGAAAAGAGAAATCCATCTATAATGCCCTTGAATTTCAGAAAACAAAAGAAAAACCAAAACAAAACTGGGAATCCAGCCAGCCATCTAAATGCAGCATTTTTCATGTACTTGTGAAATTATACTGTAAAAGCTCAGCAAAGAAAGGAAGATTATGCATATTCATATAATGCTTCAGTGAAGATGATAAATGAAACATAGCCACAAAATCATTCATTGAATATGACATGATTACATTTCTTTTCATACTAACCTGAAAACAAAGATCACTGTAAAATTCTTTTATGTTTTCAGGAGAAAAAAGTCTAAATTTCTGAGCAAAGGCAAAAACAATACACATTTTAAAAACAGTTTTTAAATCAATGTGCTTTTCTATTTTTTAATTAAGAAGAGCAGAATAAAATGCAAAATCTTACAAGATGAGTAGTTATCCCAATTCCCTGAAGATTTCAGGAACTGCGCTTTGACAATGTTTAACAATAAAAAACAAATTATCTTTTTTTGTATTTTAATAAGTTTTCCAAGTAAAACTTTGTTTACCTTTTTGAGTGGTTCTTAGCATAGAATAGCATTGCTTTAATGAATGTTCAAATTTCTTTTGTTCAAAAAACATGCTGTTAAGTGCATTATACCAAAGTGATGGGGCTTTGATGATACATTAGGTTAATAACTCATCAAAGAGACAGCACTTTGATTATACCTTATATTAAATACATCACCAAAATTCTCCTCTTTCTGGTAGCAGTGCAAAACAGCTCCTACCAGAGACTCTTTTTTTGGTTAAATCAGTTATCTTTAACCTAGATACTCTTTTTTTTTTGCTTTTCTTAACAAGGATTTTATTAGACAAGGTTTTATTGTGTAGCTAGAATTCTTTCTTTTCTTTTTTATGCTTGAATGGTAACCATTTTCTTTTTTTATGAGGTATAATTGATATAAAACATATTAATTTCAGATGTACAACATAATAATTTGATGATTGTATATACTGCAAAATGATCACCACAGTCAGTCTAGTAACCATTTGTCCATATCAAATTACAATTATTTCTTGTGATGGGAACTTTTAAGATTTATTCTCATCAGGTTTCAAATATGCACTACAATACTACTGACTATAGTCACTGTACTACACATTACATACCCATGTCTTAATTACTGTAAACCCAGGTAATTGTACCTAATAACCCCCTTCACCTATTTTTGCACAAACCCCAATCTCCTGCCCTCTGGCAAGCTCCATTCTGTTTCCTTATTAATGAGTCTTTCTTGTTCTGTTTGCTTGTTTGTTTTGTCTTTCAGGTTCCATGTACAAATGAAATCATATGTATTTGTCTTTCTTTAACTTATTTCACTTGGCATAATGTCCTCAAGGTCCATTCATGTTGTTGCAAATAGCAGGATGGCATTCTTTTTTATGGCTCAGTAGTATTCCACGGTGTGTGTGTGTATGAGTGTGTGTGTGCATGCATGCATGTACACACATATGCCGCATTTTTTTGTCCATTCATCCATAAAAGGATGCTTGGTTTGTTCCTATATCTTGGCTATTACAAATAATGCTGTGATAAACATAGGGATGCATATGTTGTTCTGAATTAGTGTTTTCATTTTCTTTGGATAAATATCCAGAACAACTTGTTGAATCATGTGGTAGCTCTATTTTTAATTTTTTGAGGAATCTTCATATTGTTTACCACAGTGACTGTACCAACTTATCTCCCCACCAGCAGTGCATGAGGATTCTCTTTCTCCACATTTTCACCAATTCCTGTTAGCTTTTGTGGTTGTTTTTTGCTAATATCCATCCTTACAAGTGTGAGGTGGCATCTCGCTTGGTTTTTTTCAGAGGGAACTGTTCCATCTGTAGCTACAAACACGTTTCTGTGGAAGGAGGTGAGCTCCTGATCTTCCTACACTGCCCCCACTCAGCTGGTCAGCACTGCACACACACACACCTGTTTATTTCTGGGAAAGCAAATTCAGGTGGACACATTTGGTGAAAAAGAGTAAGTAGATCAACATGAAAATCAAAGAGTGGTTTAGTTTATGTCTGTATATGTTTTTACACATAATAAAAATAACTCACAACAACTGTAGAAAAATTCAAAACTATAGAAAAGTCACAAAGAAGTAAATGACAGTTCTTCATACCACTGCCAGACATAAACACCAAAACACTTTATGTATATCCCATTTTATGTATAAAACTTTATATCTTAAATTATTTTCTACAAATTATTTTATGAATATATAATATACATAATTTTATATATCTAAAGCACATAAATAACTGCTACAAATATATGGATATTTCATAGATATAAATGTTATATAAATGTATGTAAATGTTAAAGCAATCATATTCATTAAAAAATGTTATGTAACCTAACTTTTTCACTTAATGCTATATGGTAAACTCCTTTTTAAATATGTAAATATGCATATGAAAACATTTTTCTTAACTGCATTAATTTAAATTTTTCACTTTAATACAAACTGAGAACATTCTTGCTTATACAAGTTAAGCTCATAAGTACATTTCATATTATTTCTTTGGAATAAATCACTAGTTGTAAAATTATTTGGATAAAGAGGATTCATAAGAGTACAAAACTTCTCAGAAATGATACCCAAAAATACACATTTGCATCATTGTAACCATTTGAGTTCTCTGGAAGCAGATGCTAAAACTGAGTTTGTGAAAAGATGTTCATTTAGGAATCAGCAGTTGTGAAAGGAAGCGGAGGCAGCAAGGCTGAACAGGGACTATGAGCAGCGCTCAGGTCAACACTTTTTTTTTTCTTTTCCTTCCTCAATACCTATTCAGGTCCTCTGCTTTTTTCCCTTTGGGTATGTTCACCTTATTTCTTTTCAGGAGCTCATCACTAAAGATAGTAAACTTTTCTCTCTCTGTATTTTGCAAATAATTATCCAGGGCTCACTAATACTGTTAAAAATACAATCCATTTTAGGTAGAATTAACATATCTTTAACACCACTTCAATATGCTATTACAAAGATTTGCTCATCTTATTTTCAAACTTGCTATTGCTTGTAAATAAGAGTGTTATTTATTTTTGCATATTTTAACTTGCCACTTTACTACACTTCTTATTGCTTCAAAGAGTTTCTGAATTGATTCTTATGTATGCACTTTGTAAGTATGCAGGCTTAGCATCTATAAATGTTAACCATTCTTAAACATCAGTTATATGATAACATTCAGTTCCAGTACAGCCTGATGCCATAATGGAATGAGATGTTGGGGAGTTCTTGGGCAAAGGAATGAGTGTATTTTACTTGCCTGAAGGCTATGAATTTTTGTTCCCAGATGGTGAAACTAAGACAAACTGTGGTTCCCTAAAAATGGCCAGAGCATCCTTCTGGTTTCACATGGTCTCCCAGAACATCACCCCTCCTCTACCAAGACGTGAAGGAAACCCAGTCCACATAGAAAGGCCCATATTAGGTGTTTTGCCTGAAAGTCACTGGCTAAATGTACATAGAGGTAGAAACGTCCTATTTTCATGCTTTTGGCCTTGAAATTTTATTTCATCTAATGTTACTTCTCTTCTTTATTGTTGTTCAAATGATATGTTTCATCATTAGAAATTGAGGGGATTTTTAAAATTTCATTTGGCTCTCCTTTATAAAGTATAAGTTAGATCTTAATTTTGACATCATCCCAATATCTGTACCTTCAATATCATCTGAATATCACCTATCTTTAGTAGATGAGCTTAACTCACACTGAGTGCTATGATTGCTACATTTGTGATTCCTTCTCTTATGGTTCTATGCTGTTTTAAGAATATCATGTTTAATTATATTTATTGCTTTATGAATTATATTATTCTGTTATTATTGATTTTATTTAATAGAGCATAGACATCCCCTTTTTATTTTTAATTCTTCTAGCAGTTATATTCAACTTAGCTTTCCTGATCTTATTAAGAAGCTTATGAAGAATGTATTATTTTTATTTCTATTTGTCTTCAGAGAGATTAACTAACTCACCAAGGTCACACAGGTATTAAGTGAGAAAACTGGAATTCAAATTAAATTTGTTAAACTCTTAACTATAAGTTATTAACCACTACATACTATCAAGATAAATTATACTTCTCAACCAGCCCAACTTCATTTGCTCACTTGGAGAATACCATATCACACACCTAGACCAAGTTCAAACAATATATACTCCACACACATACAATGTGAATTTCTCTTTTATATCCCAAACATAATTAACTATTTCTTTTTGTGTTTCCACATTCTTTGCTGCATGAAGCTGTAAATATCTGTTGTGATGTTTTGTAACTAGGGATTTCCCTGCCTGCTTCTCTAACTGTATGTTCAGTTGACCGTCGTCTGCTTTCTCAATGTCTGCCATCATCATTTACCTATAAAAGGTCATGAGTGAGTCTTATCAAATGAATAAATGATGGTTGAATACGTTGTCTTACGTACCTGGAACTACACATCCAAGAGAGGTCTTGAATATATCTGTGTTATAAAGTGAATGTGTTTAATGTATTTAATTAAAGGAAACCCAGGTTGAGCCAAATTTGTATTACTCATTATTGAATGGAGATAGTATAGAAATGTCATAATCTTTGTGCTTAGGCAGACCATTTTTGACAGACAATGGACTTGTGGGAAATATATTAGACTATACTGAAGTAAAATGAAACAGTATCAAAACATACTATTGCCATACTATTTAGGATCTTAGTGAAGTGAGTTCTACTGAAAACAGTAAATGTTGACATTAATTAAGAAAAAGAAATGAAGTGTCTAATTCCAAAACCTCAATGGAATTTTTGTTTTCATTTCTGTTTCACTTACCTTTAATTGCAGAAAGGTTGACTCTTCATGAAGATATGAGAGTAAAGTCCCTTGAGACAGATGGAGCTGTTGGAGGTCTCTGGACAGGAAGCAGCAATTCTTCTATCAAAGTCCCACTGCCAAAAACCATTTCCAGTTAATACTACAGGCTTTGCTGTATCACTCCATAAGGCTTTTAATCATATTTACAGTGCTTATAATTATAATTATAACTTTAGAGAACAAATGACTAAAAATCATTTTCACTGAAATTACTATCTCTAAAACAGAAGGCCTTATTAAAGAAATTAACCTTTACATAGAAATATGAACAAAGAGCAACTTTAAGAACAGCTCATTATTCACTTTAACTCCAGTTATTATACTATTCAAAAGCATTCCAACTTCTGTGCACTCTATACTCATTGGTAATGTAGTGGATTTAAGTGTATAAGTTCATGCAAATGATAACCTCCAGAGAACAAGAATTCTATTGTCTTATACACACTTTGTTGAAATTAGGGGACACTGGATTTCAAGTTTTCAAACAGTTTATAATGATAAAAGGATACATTTAGCATACAGTCATTAAATGAACTTAAAGTTAATATTTTTACCCACCTGAAACAAATACATCATGCTATAATATATAAAAACTGTATCATAATACTTAGCCTGATTAGCAAATAAAAGGTTGTGTTTCCATTTGCATTTGTCCTAATGTCAATGGAACAGAATAGAGAGCTCAGAAATAAACCTACACTTATATGGTAAACTAATATATAACAAGGAGACAAGAACATGCAATGGGGAAAAGACAGTCTCTTCAATAAATGGTACTCGGAAAACTGGACAGCTACATGCAAAACAAAATTGGACCTTTTCTTACAAGATATACAAAAGTAAACTCAAAAGGGATTAAAGATTTCAACATAAGACCTGAAACAAAAAACTCCTAGAAGAAAACATAGGCAATAAACTCATGAACATTGGCACTAGTAATTTTTTTCTGGATCTGTTTCCCCAGGCATGAGGACCAAAAGCAAAAATAAACAAGTAGGACTACATTAAATTAAAAGGCTTCAGTACAACAAAGAAGACCATCAACTAAATGAAAAGGCAAAGCTTCTTTGGGAGAATATATTTGCAAATGATATATCTGGTAAGGGCTAATATCCAAAATATATAAAGAACTCACTATAACAACACCAAGAAACAAAATAATCTGACTAAAAAATGGACAGAGGACCTGAATGGACATTTTTCCAAAGACATTCAGATGGCCAACAAATACATGAAAAGTGTTGGCTCCACATCACTAGTCATCAGGGCAATGCAAATCCAAACCACGATGAGACATCACCTCATGCCAGAATGGCCACTATCCAAAAGACAAGAAACAACAAGTGTTGGAGAAGATATGGAGAAAAGGGAACTCTTGTGCACTGCTAGTGAGATTGCAAATTGGTGCAGCCACTACGGAAACAGTATTGGAGGTTCCTCAAAAAACTACAACTAGAAATATCATATGACCCAGCAATTTCATTTCTGGACATTTCCTCAAAGAAAACAAAATCAGTCATTTAAAAAGATATATGCACACCTACTTTTACCACAGCCAAGAGATGAAAGCAGCCTAAGTGTCTGTCAACAGATGAGTGGATAAAGCAGCTGAGGTACACATATGCAACAGAGTATGATGCAGCCATAAAACAAAATGAAATCCTGCCATTTGCAACAATATGAATGGGCCTGGAGGGTATCGTGCTAAGTGAAATAAGTCACACAGAAAGACAAATACCATATGATTTCACTTACATGTAGAGTCGAAGAAATAAAACAAATGAACCAACAAACAAAACTGAAATGGACTCATACACAGAAGATGGATTGTGGTTGCCATCAGGGGAGTGGATGGGTGAAACAGGTGAAGGGGATGAAGAGATACAAAGTTCCAATTATAAATTAGTCACAGGAATTAAAGCACAGAGAAATAGCCAATAATATTGAAATATCGGTGTATGTTGACAGACTGTAACTACACTTACTCTGGTGAGCATTTTATATTGTATATATATTCAAATAATCACACTGTATACCCAAAACCAATATAATATTTTATATCAGGTATATTTCAATTAAAAAAGATGCTAAGATGTTTCCTTACATTGTATTATAAACCAGATGCCAGATCTAAAGAATTCAAGGTAGTGTCCAAGGCACCCAGAAAGAGGGGCTGGTGGACAAATTGTAATAGACCAGAAGAACCTGAGGGTAGATACCTAAGTAGACTCAAGTTCAGAAGCCCAGCAAACCTGCAAAGGACTTACCACATGGAAGGACATGGCACCACACTGGGAAAAGAAACCTTAACTAATATAGTCACAGACATAGAAGTGTGCTCACTAAAAAAATTTATGTCCAAGAAAAGCATTGTTTTCAATTCATAGAAAATCCATTGTTTTCAATCCAAAAGCAAGTGAGATGTCAACCTAAACTAAGAAGTCAGCACAAGGGACTTACAATAATGATGAGAACAAAGGAACTAAGGGTTCTGAAATTTTCATTTGAAGTCTTGAGAAATCTAAAATAACTAGGAGTCAAAGTAGGTCAGACAGATAGGCTTGCAAAGGGGAGATAAAGTATTTGTGCTGTATTATTACAGAGCTCCACTGGCTCTTGGAATATAATCCTATCAGCTTCTGATGCATAACACACCATATCAAGACATAGTGGCTTAAAATAATAACACATGCATTATTTCTAACATTCTGTGCATTTATCTAGTGATTCTTTTGGCATTGCTAATGTCCCATTGGCTAAAGCAAGTCAGTTTGCCTAACTTCTATTCAAATACATTGCAAAAGGATATACAGCAGTGTTGGGAGACATGTATAGTCATTTGGGGATCAAACAAAACATTCCAGAACTAAAGGCAAAATTCACTTCAATTTAAAATATTTTCCAACCAGATGGTTAAGAAATAAGAAACTTAACATAAAGAACACATACTGCATTTGTCTCCTCAGTTTTCTTGGGTTTTGCAGGAACCTCTTAACTTTAGAACCAGCACCACACTTGAACATAATACATGATTATCCAGCTGAGAAGGCAGAGATTTTACATGAATATATAAGAAAGTCCCCAGATACTCTACAATTTCAGAATGGCATCAGACATTACTATTAGATGAAAAATAATTTGAAATCTGTTTTACATACAGAGTACATTATAGGCTCTGTCATGAACAAATGCCTCCTCCAGAATAGGCCTAACTTACAGGTGTTTTTCTGAATGATTTTCTAAAACATACATGCTAATATTTTTTAAAATCCTAATCATATAGTGCTACTAAGATACAGATCATTATGTGATATTACTATCTTAGTATTCACCCAATTATTTTAGTAAATATGTTATACAAAGTGACAATAATATCTACAGATATCAGATATTGCTCTTTTCACTTTCAGGATAGTTGACTGGAATCTTGTGTCATTTAATGACTGAACAGTGCCCTGCACATAAGCAATTACATTTCCAGCCACCATATCACCTCCATTATTGGTCTGGTGAAGTAGATGTCACAGTTTAACCCTTGTCTTTAAATTTATATGTAAAATGTTCTGCACTAAAGCTGGTAGAATTCTATGAGAAAATTCAGTTTGAATAGTAGTAGTTTACAAATGCCATTTTTTTGTGCATCACTAAAAGGTAAATAAAATCATTTGATTTCAGTTAAACAAAGTGGCACTAAAATCTCTGTAAGAAAAATCAAACAGTAGAAATACATTGGAATGGAAATTTATAGGCACAACACAACTTATGCTTTAGGATGCATTGTGATGAGCATCATCTGCTGCAATTGCATTCCTTAAAAAGCAAAACAAACTTTATTCACTAAATTCATGACAGAGTGGAATTCTGAAAAATTACACTTCTTTAAAATGTCTAACTCCAACAAGCTTTCAATTAGATAACTGATTCAGATCCAGATTCATAAAATACATAAACCTGAAAAACAGATACATGCTAGCCACAGGGTATTTTCATATGAGAATGAAGTGATTAGATCTCTAAATTAGACCTTTCCCATTGTTCAATTCAATTTAATTAAATATATTCTCTAATCACCTCTGGTATTCTCAATATTTTCCTTAGTTATTGTAAGAAACAGACTGTCAAGAAAGAATTATCATACTGGAGTGACCCAGTCCTGTTTTATTCAGTCTTAGAGAATCTGTGTCTCTATTTTCACACCCTATGCACTTCTGAGCCCTATGGTCCTAGAGCCATCTACCCCGACAGGTTCTGTCCTACCTCTTATCAGTATGACCTTTAGGACCTGGAAATTTTCTATTAAGCCCAAGCTCTCCGTAGGGCTCTGAGATCTTCCTTTGAGGTTGCCAGTGGTCCCACTTGTCCAGTGGCTCTTGGAACCATTTCTCCTCTGGAAATATTGCTGATCCTATGACTTCTCTGATGGAAACCAGGAATATGTCTCCTGTTATGCTGAGAACCAAAAACTTCTGCATTCTCACCATCTCCCTTCACACTAGGCTGGAAAAGTTCTTCCTAGTTTTAGTGAAATTTTCCCCCTTTGTATTTATGATCAAAATATTTTGTCTATGCCCCAGTCTTCTCACATCTCTGGGATTTAGAAAGATTAACAGATGCATTCTGCATTCTATCTTGTGCCAAAACTAACTCAAAACAATAAGCACAAGTCTGATTATTAGCTTATAAGGAATGGGTTTGAGGTGGGAGTGATAAGGGGAAAACATAAAGAAAAAAATACAATAATACCTCGAAATATCATACCACCCACACAACTAACTTGCAAAGTGTTAGTAAGATTTAGAAATAATGCATGCACACTTTCTGGCATATTCTAGAGTTGCTCTAGCTGCTATTATTATTATTATTTAGAAACACGCAAAATTACTCCTTTGATTTCTGATATCCCTGGAACAATTATTTGAAATAAGACAAATAAATACTATAAAAATATAAATGTGTGTGTGTGTGTGTATATATATATATATATATATATATCAAACTATATATTATATGTGTGTATGCATGTGTGGATGGATTGATGGGTGGGTGGGTGGGTAGATGGATAGATAGATAGATA